TAGTCTGTATTGAGCGGTACTGATATAGTACCTAGCATATTTCACATAATATCGAGCAGTACCGATCAATTTTCATAGTACTAAGTATTTTTCACTTAATACCGGTATTGCTCAGCATTGCTCGATACTGTTCGATATAAGGCCTAAATAAAATAGTAAACCTATTATACCTAGTATGATTTATATAGTACCGAGCATATTTCACATAATACCGAGCAATACCGATCAGTTTTCATAGTAGCGAGTATTTTTCATTTAGTACCGGTATTGCTCGATATTGTTCAGAATAATAAACAAATTAATAAAAATACATAAATTATGTACAAAAGAATTTTATCATTTAATCCAAAATTAATTGAATGTTAATATATAAAATGGCATATGCTAATTCAACCCTAAATAATGCAATACTAGATTGCCATTTTTTAATAAGTTTCCATTGAACAGGTTCATGCTAGATCACAGCTTCCCTATATTTACAAATAAACATACCACAATCAACGTTGTTATCTTGTGTTGGCACGTTTTTAATTGTCTCGATGGGCCAATTCCTTATATCATCATTAAAAGCGTTCTTTGCATCCTCGTACAAATTAGATACCTGAAAAAATTAAATGAAATTAACATACAATATTGTTACTCCTAAAATAAAAGTCAGATATAGATAATACTTACAACATCTAGTAGTATTTCCTTGTGTGTTGCTTTTGGTAATGAATCAAAAAACTTCCACCGTTTCCTGCTCAGATTTCCAACTAAAAGTGTCCAATATTTTTGGTTTATTATAGGAACAATGATCAAATTGGTACTCATAATATCTATTTTGATTATATGTGAAACGAAGCCAGATGTTTTTGTCTCTTCTAATATCGTGTAGTAACCTTGTATGAGATGAAATAGAAGTGGTTATTACTTACAATAAGTTTAAAACTAATAAATAATATTAGCAAATGCACAAATCAAATAATGTTTACTACCCCAATGGTAACTTGAAATAAAAATAAAAGGTTGATAAAGACCGGGGTAAAGTTTATTTTTCTCTGCTAATAAATGAGCAAACACATCAACGTGATTATTATCAAGCTCTTCTGATAGTAATAACTCGTCCAATTGGCTTCTATAAATAATTATATTCTCAAATTAAAAAATAGTATCGCCCCTGCATAATTCAATAAACATTATTTAGAAAATAAGAATAAAAAAACTCGTTATTGCTCGGTACTGTTCGGTATAAGACATAAATAAAATAGTAAATGTAATATAAATAGTATGATTGATATAGTACCGAGCATATTTGACATAATACCGAGCAGTTTTCATAGAACCGAGTATATTTCACTTAGTACCAGTATTGCTCAGTATTGCTCGATAGCGTTCGGTATAAGACATAAATAAAATAGTAAACGTAATATACCTAATATGATTTATATAGTACATAGCATATTTGACATAATACCAAGCATTATCAATCAGTTTTCATAGAACAGAGTATATTTCACTTAGTACCGGTATTGCTCGGTACTATTCGGTATAAGGCATAAATAAAATAGTAAACATAAAATACATAGTATAATTTATATAGTACCGAGCATATTTCACATAATACCGAGTAGTACGATCATTTTTCATAGAACCGAGTATATTTCACTTAGTACCGGTATTACTCGATATTGTTCGGTACTATTCGGTATAAGAAATAAATAAAACTATTAATAAAATGTAGGTTACTCATTGATCCTTGAAATGTTTCAGTTTATTATCAATGAATATCTATTTATCTTCACTTAATAATAATCGCCCGGGGCACACTAATGCTTCAGGTGCAGGATGCAATTTTGTTTCTTTTGAATCATCAAACTCATGAACGATCTTAGAAACTTCAGGACCCACAGTTGATTTAGCAATGGATGTTTTTGTTGGTTTGTCATCTTTCTTACTAATCATAGCAGCAGGATCAGATGAAGGAGCAGGTGCAGGAGCATTAGTTGGAATTGGCTCAATTTTTTTGTCCTTAGAGATTATTTTTACTTTCTTTTTTTTTTTGTCACCAGTGGTAAAAGGTGTTGATACAAGTTTCATCTTTCTATCAATCCTCAGCCGAACTCTTCTAGCAATTCCGGTTTGAGATGACGAAGCGAGTTCCTCATTGTCACTTTTCCTGCTTCCTTATCTACTAACTTCTGTTCTAGCTTGTCTGCCTCATCCTGCCCTTCCAATACTCTTCTTGCAACATCCACAAGTTTTGGGGCAACATATGGGACAGATGGGGTGACTTTTGTTTTATCAGATATAGTTGTAGATGAAGTAGATTTACCTGGAATTTCAGACGTGTATGTTTTTAAAGAATCAGGAAAGTTATCATGCAAGAACTTCTCTATAACACCATATCTACATTGATTCTCCTCTCTCAGATCAAATACTGCTTCTTCCAAACCTCCAACACGTCTTTAAAGTAACCTATTTAATGTTTCGACCGAGATCAGTTTCTTCTTCAATACGTTATTCTTGATGAAAAGTTTGTATATGGCTTGATTTAGGATCTTCAAGTTAGTTTCTTCGGTTATAGGACTTGGTTCAGTAGCTGTGCTGGATGGATCAGGTCCAACGCGGGATGGATCAGGAGCCCAACTTGATGGAGTTTTGGATGGGCTTGGGATCTTTTTTGGACTCGATGGAGTAGCTGGAGATGGATCAAGTCTAGCTAGGCTTGGCACCCTAATCGGACTAGGAATCCTTATTGGATTAGGTGGATTAGGTGGAGATGGATCAGGTCCAGTTGGGCTTGGCACCATAACTGGACTTGGCACCGTTATTGGACTGGCTGGAGTTTGTGAACTTGGCATCGTTATTGGACTGGTTGGAGTTGGAGTGGGCGACTTAGAAGAAATCTTTGTGAATTTCGGGTTAAATGGTACAATTTTAAGATTTTCTCCAGCCAGATAACTTGAAGGACTATGAAATAAAGTTTTTTCATCATTTGTTATTCCTTATAAATAGATGAGAATCTGAAATAAAATGATATATTGTCAAATGAAATATAAAATTTTATCATATTTTTAAATGAAAACCCGTAGTCCTGCTACCTCATCATCCTGAAGGTCTGCAAAAATGTTGTTCATGTCTTTCTCACTGTACATAAAATTACCATCTCACCGAGTAAAACGTGGGCAGGATAGTTCATCCTTTACGGCGTGAATGGTTGTATGTTCAAGAGACCATATCTGCAAAAAATAAGACAATTCAAATTTCTAATAGAATTTCAAAATTAACATTTACCATTACTCTGGTTGAACAAAAAAAATAAATGTATATACTCACTATTACAATCATGACAAAATCATTGACATATCCTAGTGCGTATCCTCGTGATTGTTTACTTGCAACTGTATTAAATTCATTAACTAGGAAACCCCTAATGGATTCTGGCCAGTTGTATGTATTGAATCTATCAACATTTTCAGCAACTTCTAGGATTGATGTTGGTATACGGAAGTTTGTCATTGGATAAAAAATATTGGATAATAAGTAAAGGAAGAATTCTTTCACTACATCATCCATTGGAGTTAAATTATCCATCTTCTCAATGTCATGACGAATGTCATTAGATGTTTTGCCATTGGATCTAGTATTGCCAACGTCAAATATAATACATCTATTAGGCATGCCTACGATTAAAGCAACCTCATCAGATGTGAAACCTATCATATGTCCATTAATAATAAATCTTTCACTCTTTAAATCCCACTTCGATAGTAGCATATATATAAGTGGAACATTCCGAGGGATCGAAGGAACATTCAGGAACTGACTAATTTGCAGCTGTCGCAGTCTTTCAACAAATTGATCTCCAAATTTCTTAACAAGTTGATTACAAACTTCTCTAAAAGTCGAAGTTCAGCATCTGAAATGAATCTTTGAAGTATATCCCTGCACATCAACTAATTAAAAAATAAATACTAAATCGGATACCGAGTATTAAAGACAATCAATGCCGAGTATTAAATAATACATATAAAAGACAATCGATACCGAGCATAAAAGAGGTAATAAGACAATCAGTACCGAATATAGAACATGATTTGGACGATATAAGTGAGCTTATACTGAGTAATTGTACTGAATACCAAGCAGTATCGAGCAGTACCGAACTGTACCGATCAACATTCTAAATACCGAGTAGTTCCGAGCAATATAAGTGAACTTATACCGATTCACATCAAACATTTTGAAATGATTTCACTCGGTACTGAATCAATAATATATTTTATAACAAACAAAAATATTTTTATGTTTTTATCTAAGCTTATACCAAGTATTAACCGTCAGTACCGAGTGATATTAACTGTCAAAACCGAGCAGTACCGAGTGGAACCGATCGGCATTGGCAATACCAATCTGTACCGAGTAATACCGACCACGAATCTCAGATTGTTTTTTCAAAAAAGATTGAAAGTTCATCAGCTACAGAAGCACTTTCTACGTAAACCCTAACCCTAAACATATAAAAAGAGAAAATTTATTTGTTTTAGAAAAAAACGAACTCACCTTGGGCATTATTTCTCTGAAGTTATTCAAACGCAAATGCTTGGAACTTGGAACTTGCTTGGAACTTGAAGAAGATGAACAGTTGCCAGAAACAAAGCTTCGTCTATGAAAATGATGACTGAAGTGAAAGCCGCTGCTCTTTATTTGAAAAATAACCATAATTTTTGGGTCCGCCGGGAGTTTTTCGGGCCCGCTGGTCGGGCCGTCAAATTCAAAATTCGCACGTGCCATAAACCCAATATTTGCCGGGCCGGGTCCGCGGAAATGGCCAAGCTACGTGGCTCCTGTTTAGAACTCACGGAATGTAGAACTGCATCAGGTTACCGGACCGAATAATCTGATCGGGAAAAACAGGTTTGCAGTACAATTTGTGACTATAATTAGTTTCGGTTAAGAATGGGCCCTACACTGCTTTTATTATTTTTTTTTTTGCTTTTTCTACTGGTACCCCCGCTCTCTCTCTCTCTCTCTCTGTCTCTCTCTGGAGTCTTACACACTGTCTCTGTTACTCCAGTAACCCTTAGCTTCCAGCCGCATCGACTGTTTTTTACTGTAGATCTCGGAACCAAATGTCTGTTTCCTCTTTCTTAGCTGAGCGTTTCTAGTTGTTTTTTCATCTAAATGTTGGACGGGGTGATCTCAAGGATCTAATCAGTAACGGATCTCACTGGTAAGCTCAGATCTGGGAGCCTACTTCCCTTATTTTCGTTTCAATTCTAACATTTACGGTAGGTTATTTTGCTTCAAACGGTGATATAGCTGGATTTCTTTGGATACATTGAGGTTTTGGCGGCGTATTTGAGCTTGCATGTGTGGATCCTACTTTAGTGAAGCCCATTTTAGTTGATAATGAAGCTCGTTATGTTTAACAAAGATTCTTGACTTGCAATGACATTACGTTTTTGAATTTTCAAAGTTCCTCATGGAAATTTTATTACTGTTTGTGATGATCAAGCTTTTATTCCCTGTTCTATGAAAAACAAAACCCGAAAAAATGATAGTTTTGGTGTTCGCACAAATTTTTGAAGAACCTCATAATTGTTTTTTAGCTATTCAGCATTTGGTATTTTAAGTTTATAATTGCTGATTTGTGCTTAAAAAAATTTACGCTCACTTTTGCTTGAGAATGATAAATTTTTTGCTTCATTTTACATTTCTTTCGCACATACAGCTAAAATGTAATCAGAAGGAAAAAAAGCTAGTAGTGGCTATTTATTTAGCACGAACAAAAGGAAAGAAAAAGTTTGCTACAGTTTGATGTTCACCATTTGGTTCTTATGCTGTCGATCTGGATTGTTTTAGGTTCAAGAATCCGAACAAAATTCATATTTAGGAGTTGCTGTTTTGAAAATGGGGAAATCTCCTGGGAAATGGATTAAGACTTTACTTTTTGGAAAGAAAACAGCTCGATCCGACTCATCAAAAGGAAGGGAGGCCTCGGTATGAAATTCTGTTCTTATCTATTCACTTTCATAATGCATTCCTTTGTCTTCCCTCTCTATTCAGCTCTATTCTATCCCTGTTTGTTCTGTTCATGTTCTTCTCATTCATTAGATAATTTCATTGAAATTGCTCTTAAGTTTTAATTGCTTGCTATTTACTTATATAAGGTGCCATGTTTTTAATATTTGTTCTAAACGAAGATCCAAAAATTAAAGCCAAATGATTTGCCTTAGCTCTTGTTTTATTGTGATTATTGATACTTTCACTCTGAAATAATAAAGTATAGTTGTATTACTATTTCATGCTCCGACATGCCTCATGTGCTTGAAGGATTGTTGGAGGCATGATTGTGGCTCCATATTTAACCATGCATGCATGTAGCCAAGAAAATTAAAGCTAAGCTTGCTTCATGGGCGTTCACACTTTGGAGAGGCCTTGAACACTCTAATCTATTGTGTGAGATGAAAGCAGTTTAGTCTTTCTAAAGTTAGGAAGAAATCCCCCCTAAGGATTCAATCACTGGAGTCTATTATTAGATTCTGCATAATATGTGATCATTCTAAGTTTACAAAGAATAAGAATTTTTTAGCATAATCTCTACATTATATAGTGTTTGAGCCAATTTGTTAAAGCAAATTGGGAATTGGGTTCAGAAGTTCCAACTCCTACTTTGTTTGGATCAATTTTGAACCTAGATGACTTGATCGATGGATGAATCATTGATGGCGAGCACTTTGGTGATAGGCTAACTACACTTTTCGGTAGACCATGTTCTAGGGAATTAAAGGACAAGTACACATTTAAAAACTCACAATACAGTGATGAGTGTGTAGCCCTCCTTTTGGCACTCGTGAGAACTTTCTCATGGTACCATTGATTGAGATTTAACAATTCTTATTGCTAGTAAACACCTTTAAAAGTCTTGGCATAGGAACTAGTCTACGTTACTCATAGTAGATGTTGAACTACCTTTTCCCAAATAGGTGATGATTGCCCTTCTCCTTGCACGCACCAATCTCATTGTCATAGGGTAGGCATTATTCTAGTTGAACCAATGCAATTGCTACATCCACTTGCGGATCTATAGTGGGGGCTTGGAGGCACAAGCCTCCATTGGCCAATAAAAGCTCACTATAGATAATAAAGGCTACATTAACACTTTATCCTTCTGGCCTCAAAAAGCCAAATCATGCATGTTGTTCATTGTTGTTTTATTTAAGCTATAATCATATATACACACACACACACACACACAACAACAACAACAACAACAACAACAACAACAACAACAACAAAAATATCAATGCTTTGTCCCATTATGTGGGGTTGGCTACATAATCCTTTTTCTCCATTGTGTCATGTTAAAAGTTAAATTCTCATTTAAATCTAATAAAGAAAGATCATTTCTAATATTTTTAACCAAGTCTTTTTAGGTCTACCCCTACCTTTCTTAACCTAAGTCAAATCTAATACATCTACTTTCTTATCCGGGTCATCAGAAGACTACCATTTTATGTGACCAAACCATCTAAGACGACTCTCTCTAATCTTATCTTCCACTAGCGCTACTCCAACCATTTCACATATATGCTCATTTCGTATTCTATCTTTAAGGATAAAGCCACTCATCCACCTGATCATCCTCATCTCTGCAACACTTAACTTAGTATTATGCATCTCTTTTAATGGCCAACATTCGACACCATAAAGCATTGCAGGTCTAACCACCATCTTATAGAATTTTCCCTTAAGTTTGAGGGGGACTTTTCTATCACACAACAAGCCCGATGCATTCATCCACTTCAACCATCCAACTTGAATTATGCTTATAATATACCCATCTATTTCACCATCACTTTGAATAATAGATCCAAGATATCTAAAATGTGTACTCTTATTAATGACTTGATCATCCAAAGTCACAATCCCCTCACTAGGTCTATTACTACTAAAATTATATTCCATATATTTAGTTTTAGATCTACTCGAGCAAAAACCTTTAGACTAAGGTTGACTTCCATAATTAAAGTTTACCTTCGGCTCCCTCTCTAGTCTTATCAACAAGAAGAATATCATCAGCAAAAAGCATACACCAAGGTACATCCTCTTGCAAATGTCTAGTGAGAACATCCATGACTAAAGTAAAAAGATATGGGCTTAAGGCTGATCTTGATGCAATCCAACCGAAATAGCAAAATACTTAGTCAAACTAACTTGTGTTTGAACACAAGTAATAGCTCATACATACATATCTTTAATGATTTGAATATAAGCATTATTAACTCCTTTCTTTTCAAGAACTCTCCATAGCACTTCTCTAGGAACTTTATTATTTGTTTTCTCTAAATCAATAAATATCATATGTAGATCATCCTTATTCTCTCTAAATTTCTCCATCAAACCTCTCACTAAATGTATGGCTTCCAGTGTAGACCTACCCGGCATGAATCCAAATTGATTTTGAAAAACATTTGTATCACGCTGAAACCTACGCTCTATAACTCGCTCCCATAGTTTTAAAGTATGGCACATTATCTTAATTCCTCTATAATTCGCACAATCATATGCATCATCTTTATTCTTAAAAATAGGAATTAACACACTAATTCTCTACTCATCTGACATCTTTTTAGTCTTCAAAACCGTATTAAAAAGTTTTGTGAGCCAAAAAATTCCTTCATCTCCTAACCATTTCCACACCTCTATGTATGTTATAATTTATTTTTATATAAAGAACACTTAAATATTTTAAGTGAAATAAGATAGTCATTTATGTGTAATACAACCAAGAATATAGAATATTAACTTAATTTTTTTAAAAGAAAATATTGATATTCTTAAAAGATTAAAATATTTTTTTAATATGAACTATTGAGTTGAAACTTAAAAGAAACCATCCAAAAAAGATTAAGGCTTTGTTTTAGACAACTTTTTTACTGCTTTACTTTTCAGACTACAATCACAATTTCTATTTGACCACTACTGCCTTTTAAAAAATTTTTGTGCTAGGTTTAAAAAAGTTGTTTCTCCACAATAGCTGTATAACAATCTTTATGAAAAGCTGCAACCATTCTAAGTAGACCCTAAAAGTATTTTTTTAAATAATCAATTCATGCCTCCAACAAAAAATTTTGGCTCTGCCCCTAGCTGCATCCCTTTAGTTTCGAACAAAGAGCTATAACAAAGGCATGCTTACCTGAGATTTTTTTTCTTAAAGTTAATACAATGATGTGAACTTTGTCATTATTTGTGAGATGGGTGACTCGATGCATGTAGAGGAATAGTTTAACTTATTAGGAAATTGAAATAAATGAATAAAAATGTACCAAAAAAGTGAATTCACAACATAATTTTATATATTGACATCAAATTATTGATTATTCAATGCAAGAAGACTAGAAAGCCAAAATAAGTCTTGCTTGAGATTTTCATTTTACTTATTATAACATTAATGTTGAATTCAAATTTGGTTGTGAATGATACCTAATCTTACTAATAGATTAGCTCTGTCAGTATGACCTAAAAACTTGTGAGAAAGGGGAGAGCATGAGTAAGAATGCAATCCACTAGCTCAAATATCTGTAATACAAGTGCCAATGAGTGCCAAAGATGTCAAAAAACTGCAAAAAATTCAAAATGATCTTCTTTACTTTTTATTTATAAGGATCTAAAAGCTACATGGAAGGCTACATCAAATAAAGAATGAATAAAAATACACGACTTAATGTCCCTTTGGTAGGCGAGTGATGCAAATGATGAGTTTTTAATATGGTTGCTAGAAAGTGATGAACAAGTAAATGTGAAAATACTGACTTGTTTATTATATAGCCTGATAGTAAAATTTATTGATGTGATACTTCTTTCTCCTTTACCCCTATAAATAGTGGCTCAGCGGTTTGAAGCCTTTTACTCTTTGATTTCCCTAAGGAACATTGTTAGAATTAATATGGCTATCAGATAGTAATGAAAAAGTAATTGTATAATTACTGTCGTGTTTACTTTAGCTTTGACAGTAGAATTAATTGATGTGATACCTCTTTCTTCTTTGCCCCTATAAATAGCAGCTCCACGATTGGAGACCTTTTACCCTTTGATTTCCCTATGGAACATTGTTAGATATGTGGAGTGCTATAAAATTCAGACCTATGAGTGCCATATAAATTAGACTTGTGAGAGCCTTAAAGATGAAGCTTGGCAACTTAGCTCGAGTAGGTATTAAGCACTCAAAGAAGGCAACCTTTCACCTAGGAAAGGTTGAGGTGCTAGAGGAAAGGCGAGTGCCCCTTTGGCAAATAAAGATGCTGAAGTGAGAGGATAACTATTTAGGATTCTTCTAAACCCGACTCCAATTTACACTAAGGTGGTTGTTGCCAAAAACACTGGTGGCAGTGGCCAAAAATCCACATGCACCTCTTGAGGACAAGGAGGCGGTCGTTCCTTCAGCAGCCAAAGCATCTAAGGTGCCTGCTTTTTAAGGGCATCACAATTGATAAGGAGACGCTCAAGAAGAGGGCTGAGTAAGCTCGTCGTCCTATGCCATCAGCCGAAGTGTCGTGATAAGAGGTAGCAGTGGTGGAGTGAGTGGCGGCAGGGGAGCGAGTTGCCAACTACTCAGCGAGTGAGAGTGATGAGCTCCATGTTTTGTGGAGGTGCTACATTCAAGATTGCGTTGTTTACTCACGAGCACTTGAAGAATACTTGACGACGCTTCTTGAGGAGTAGCTAGGGTTTGTCATTGATGAACTCATGGGGAAAATCATGACGGCCCTCATGAGGGGTTATGATGCAATTCTGCATTGCATTGAAGATGAGCATTTCACCAAACTAGATGGGTAAGGTTGAGGAGCTTTAGATCATGCTCATGAAGTGAGGAACATCTTTCAAAGAGAACTTGTTGGAGGAAGGGTTGCAGAAGGAAGCAGTGTTCAAAGTGAAGGAGATCACTGAAGCTAAACTAGCCAAGGTGCCAACTTTAAGACAACTGAGGAGCAGTACAC